TTGAACAAGAATAGATTCTAATATATACTTTAAAAAAAATTACTAAGATTATTGCAAGCAAAGCGCCATCTATATTATAATTTTTGAATAAACAATTTAATACAAAGATAATAAACATCCCTAGCAATATCAACACTTAAAAGAATCCCTTCATAACAATGTTAATTTTATCGGAAATAAAAGAATTTATTTTTTTATGATATTTTTCAATGTATATTTTTAATGGCTGTGAAATGATATCTTAATAAAATATTATAAATTTCCTTAAAGAGATGGCTCGGGAATCGACTGTGATCCGAATAAGTGAGTTAATTTTTTCGACCCAAAACTTGGCCCCAAATTCTAGTCTACCTAATTTTAAAATATTTTTTACTATATTCAATTTTTAAAATTTATGTCTGGCAGTGATATTATATCAATTTCACTTATATGGATGAGATTTTCAGCTGAAATCTCTTTTATAAAAAATACCATCTTTGACCAATTAATATAAAATTCTCGAGTTACAGGTGAGTCTACTCGGCTTAGCCGTTTAACAACGCTATATAATAAAATATTATAAATTTCCTTAAAGATATGGAGTCGACTAAGTGAACCGAGTAAGCGAGCCGCTCATTTAGTCATTTAGATTTGGAGTCGTTTTTTTTACTAAAAACTAGGCTCAAGTGGCAGATAAGTAGACTCGGCTGTGTTCTTTAACAACACTACTAATTTGTTACTCTAAGTATTTTTTTAAAAAATAAATCACACTTTACCCGATTTTCGATTTTAAAGACGTGCATCATTCGATCCGATTGAGTTAGAGCCCTTTTAAAAATTAATACAATATAGATAACTAAAATACCAAGTATCGCTCATTTTAGAGATGGTCGTGCAAAAATCTTGTTTATTTGTCGATTTGATATGGAATGACCTATTTCCAGTTATTACAATATTTACAAACTGTTCAGTTTTTTTTCCAATTTCCTTTATAAATAAAACTAAGTATTTGATTTGAAAATAGGGATCTCTAACAAAATATATTTATTAATATATATTATCTTTTATATTACCCATCAGCATCACATTACATATAAAAATACTTGTGGTACGCTTGCATGTGAAAAATATTGCGTTTTCTCTACTTTTTATAAACACAAGAACGAACCTGGGCATTATATTCATAGAGAATATTACCTGTTGGAATTTTCTGTCTCAATACCTCTTTCCTTATAACTATTAATATTTCAATTCTAATATCCCTATATCATGTCATATAAAAAATATTTATTTATAAAATTAATGTTTTAATTTAGAGAAACATTCACGATTTTTTTGTTAAAATTTTATTTATACTTTTAAATACCATAATCTGATATATATTGCCGATATATATATATCTACTTCTATAATTTCCATAACCCATGAATATCTCCTCTATTGCTGTGTCGCACACCCAGATGTTAAATTAGTTAAACATGTTAATGTTGATTCATATGATTTTTATCTTTTACCACCATTAATATATTTGTGACATTCTTTTAAAAATTAAATTTTTTATTTAGTAGATTATTAAATTTTCAATCACTTGAGTTTGTTATTCTTCAAACTTTGATTTTTAATAAATTTTATATATTTACAAATTTTTAGCATATCTATTTCTCTATGCATATTTATTTAATCAGAGTATAAATATACATCCCCCATAGTCAGAGATAGATGTTTCAATGCTTTAATGTTAAAAAAAATGAAGGATTATGACAGAAACAAAAGCTGAAAGGAATGGTTTTATTACTATTTTTTAAGCTAGTATATTATATGCGATAAAACGAAAACCTGCTTAACTATAATTGTTCTATTCAAAATCGATTAAAATTTTAGTAGATCTTATTTTGATCCAATTTTTTTGGTTCAAGAATGTTAAAATATTTGGAAAAACTTCGGGGCTAAAACCATTTTCCAAAATTAGTGCTTATTTTTTAAAAGGATAGCATTTAAGCATTTAAAGCAAGCTAATAACGGGCATGAATCTGCCAATTCTTCCATATCAAGAGTGAAAATAGTAAAATATAATTTAGAAATAATCCTTCATTTGAATTAATACATTGTGATATATCCTATTTAAAATATGAAAACTATATTTTTTAAAATGCTTTCCTGAAAAAATTTAAAAAAATGAATATAGTCGATAAGTTGAATTTTATTACATTATTGCCGAAAAGTAAATTAACTTTGGAAAAGTTAAAATAAAAAAAATTTATATTAAAATAAAATACGCCACCTTACGAAGTAAATATTATAGATTTTAATTTATTATCCCTTTTTAGTATTAATATATATAATATAAGCAATGAAATTATAAAACTCTCTTTTACGTAACATAAATGTTTTAACCTTATATGAAAATTTCATAATTTTAAACAATAAGGTATAGCAATTATTGAAACAATGCTTATTTTAATGGTAGTAATCAAAACTCTAACAATATGATGCAACAATTTCGTTACTAAAGAAGTTATCACTGTTAAATACGTATATTGAAAAAGAAAAATTGATAATTTTTAACTAATTCTAAATTGACTGAAATATTTACCAATTGATGTTTAAATCTTTTTATTTATTCATAATTTTTGTTGATTTTATCGCTTCTACTGAGAATATTGTTTTAATTATTATTACCATTAGAGATATTATTTTTACTATTAGATATATTATTTTTTTATATATATTATCAAGAATATTATTATTTACAGTAAATATAAAAATTATTATGCGTTTATTAATAACTTATAATAGAAATATTTTATTAAAATACATATTATAAAGAATTTTTAAATAAGTATAAAAATTATGTGTTTGTTAATAACTTTTAATTTGCGATATAAAAAGAGAAAAAGACGAAATAAATTATTATTTTCTTCCAAATTTTTTTCAAAATTCTATTTTTTGAGTATCCTATTTTTAATTGATTATTATTCCGTTTCTGTAAAATAGTTATATATTATAGCAATAAAAGAATTGAATGTGCCAAATACGAATGAAAGAAATAAATTTATAAAGAAGATAAATCTAAAAAAGAAAATCAGCCCACAAAGAGCAAAAAGGTAAAGAGCAATATTAAATAATATATTTCCTTTATAAAACAAACTACTGGAAAAACATAATCAGACAGAATATAATAAAATAAGAAAAAACTGCACGATATTCTTCTAACAAAAAATATTGACTAAATTATAGTGTTCTATAATAAAATTTAGTATATGGTTGGCAATTTTTAATATATTTTATTAATACGAATCAAAACAAGTTATAATAATATAAAAACAATTAAAATTAATGTAATAATTATATATAAAAAAAATAAAATAGGTAAAGATGATAAAAAAAGTAAGGTTAGCTTCTTAGAAAGGAGGCTTCCAATGAAATTGGATTTAGGAATGGCGATGTAAAGTCTTTCCCTAAAAACCTCCCCTGGCTTCAATATGTGAATCAAGCTTTGAAGAAGGCTAAAACACGGCCACCAAATGTGGCTTTTACAGAGGAGATCATAGGTTTAAATATGTGTTCTTCGGTTCTCTCAAATATTTATTTATTTTAGACAACACCTCGATATCAAGAATGTTTGTACTAAGAATTGTAATTTTGTATATGTCATTAATTTGCAATGAGCTCTATAATTAATTTACAGATACATTATAGTTATAATATTGTATTATAATAACCAATTTTAAGGTTGTATATTGTTTCTTAAATTTAATTTGGAATATTATATTTTTATATTATTTATGATTTGCATAAAAAAAAGTTAGAATATATGTTAACCTGTGTTTTTTTAGTAAATAATAAATTATTATTAAGATAAATGTGTAATGGAATAATTTTTTTACTATATATATATATATTATAAAGAAGTTGAATATTTTGATTTCCCATTTTTTAAATGTACTTTAACTTTCACATTTTATACGTGGGGAATTTTATTTTATATTATTAATAACCGTTTGAATTTTAGAATTAATTATCCGACTATGATTGACTTATAATATAATGTTAAACGCAATAACTTACATATTCAAACGTATTACAAATAAGATAACCTTACCTCTATAACATACAATACAATAACCCTTCATATTATATTATAAACTGGGATAAGACCACTTAATTATTTTTGTTATCTTCCTTCAAAAACATTAAATGATAAATTAGCTATAATATTGTTATGAATGAGAATTTTTTAAAATCGTACTAATTTCTCGACCAAAATAATTATAATCATTTGAGCTGACAAAATCTTTTTAAGCGAAATATTGAAAATGACCTTTTGGAATTGTGCAATTTTTTTTAGCATGCCTGTATATCATACAACGTCCTGAGTTCTCAGTTTACGGGGTTTAAAGGATACTATTAATTTTTAACGATCAAGCATGATTTATCACTGTTCACAATTATTTTTCTTGTTTTTAAATAATTTTATTTATTAATCATTAACAATTGGTGCATTAGTTGTTCAAAATAGTCTCAAACTTAATAGTAATTTAAAATAAGCGCCTAAACAATTTTAGTAATATTTTTTTTAGGTTCTATTTCTAATATATAATATAATTTCCATTAATTTTTATTTATATGAATCCATAGTTCATAATTAGTTAATAAAAGTCTAATTAATCATTATTTTTTTTGTTTTTACATACTTTAATTTTTCTAAAGATTTTTTTGTTGTGTTTAAGCAGCTCGCTTTAGCCATTTTTTTTAAAAAGACTAACTCAAGATTTTATCCAAAAGTAACAAGTTTAGAGATTTTTCCTAAATATGGCAGAAAGGTTTAGAATGCAATATATTATGAAATTAACACTATTTTTTTGATATGTTTCATTTTTTTTCATCTAAATTATTATAATAGGCTCTTTTATGAAGAACAAAATAAAAAATTTATATTTTTAGATATATGGGACAATCAGGATAAAATTCATTCCCCATTTATAGTAATAAATAACATACAATTCGATCCATGAGGCGTTTTATTTATTATATTTTACCAAGGATAACACATTTTAACAGAATATAATATCATCGTGAAAACTACAAATAGCATAATTACATAATAAATTTTTAGATCAGCTCCATGTCTCCATTTGGATGCGTTTAAGGGCCAGCAATTTTTCGACAATATTTATAGCCGCCGATTCGGACATATCCCCGTTAATTTCAAAAGCGTAAGCCAGAGATTTTAACACTTCATCGGGCATAGATTTTGACCGCCTGAAAATATTAAAAAATTTCATATTAATAATTCAATGAATGGGCGAATTTATTAAAGTAAACGCATCAATATAAATATATATACCCGGATATAAAAAAGCAAGCATCATTTTTAGCCATTAACCTGAATACTAGTTTATTTTCTCGCCGTATCACGTCCTGAACGTATATTTTTTCATCCTTAATTTTTTTTTAATTAAATAAAATTCTTATAAATGATATGAGATGTTACTAGTCCGACTCCGGTCTAAAATATTTACAGAATAGGTAAAGACTAAAAAAAATTGTATAAAGCGTTTGCAAAATTTATAATATTAAAACTACAGTAATTATTCAAATATATAGAAGATTAACCCCTTTCCATAAGGCATAATCATATCAGACATTTTTAGCAAAAAATCGATATATTTTTTTCCACAATCGAGTATAATGAGTGAGAGTAATCTATATAAGATTAGAGGCCCGATCATATCCTCAACTATCTAAACAATTGTTCAGCTCAAACATTGGATAGAAATATGATTCAAATAGAAACAAATACGAATAATAAATTATTAGAATTTGCTGATAACGTAGAAATAATTTTAATGCCAATAAAAATTATCCTCTCTACACTCTTACCACTCCCATTGTTTTCGAAATGTGATTATAATTGAAGTTTTTCGGGAAAAAATGTATTTTAAAAAATTGATGGTAAAACCAAAATTTAAAAACTGCGTCCTGCAAAAAGTGGTTATGAAGCCTTCAAATCAAAATTATGAGAGAAGCTAGCCAAATTCTCTCCCCCCCCCCCAAAAAAAAATAAATAATATTTAACACTATAATTTATTTTATTTTAAAAATATAGAATTACTTGATCCCTAGAAAAGGCATTAAAAAGTTTCAAGAAGCCTGTTCGACAGTAAGATTCAAATTCATCAGAAAAAAATTGATCCTTCCCTTGGTTCCTACATCCGAAGAACAGATAATTTTCTAAAAAATTTAAAAATCATATCAATAAGTATAAATACAATTTTGTAAATGTATCTGGATACAGATATAATTCTTATATACTTATATAAGGTGTGCATAATGTCTAATTTAGGTACTGCTAAAATTTAATTTGAAGTGAGCTAAAAAAATTTACTGCACATTTTCTATCTAGCTACTTTAACAACTCTGATAATTTTGATTTCAAAAAAATGGACGAAGAATTTAATTTTATTTTAAGTTTAAATTGAATAAGCGCTATTTAAAATTATATAAAAATTAATGTATCATACTTTATATGGCAAAATCCTAAAAAAATAATTATTAAAAGGTTTTAAATTAATTTGCAGTATCTAAGCTAAAAAGCCAAATTCCCTTGCTCCCAAGTGGCACATAAGGTTTAACACATCGAATGACGAAAAGCTTATCCTCATCTCTAGAGGTAGGACCTTTGGCATAACACAATGCATGTATCGATGTATTGGTAAAAGAATTTGTATAAAAACTCGCTTTCCGTGTTCGAAAATTGACAAAATAAAATTTTCAACCTTAAGCACATTCATACTAGGCGAATTTATCCATAATTCATTTTTAAGGCATAGGTAAAAAAAACTATAACTTTCTGGCAAACCCAAAAGAACATATTTACCTACACAACATGCCCGAAGTCAAAAATAACCAAAAAAATGAGAATAAAATACGAAAAATAACATACTCTAATATTTTTTTTAAAATATGAAGGACAGCAGATTTCCAGGGAAGGAAATCTACCGGTCCAATTTTTTAAGCATTCACTCTTCACTAGGGTGATTTGTACCCTTTTTTAAAAAATTTTATTATTTTTTTTATCCCATTTCTCTTTTATACATACATATTTTTTAATTCATTTTTATTATATTAGTTTTTTTTATATATATTTTTAATTATAATTCGTAAATTTCTATTTTTGTTAAAAAAAATTAATTTTTGTAAATGACGAAAAATGATTTAGAACACTATTTTATTTTTACATTAAAAATAGCTTATGCAATTTTTTTCTTGAAAATTTATATATTTATCTTTTTTAGATCTAGGACACAGCCTAATGAAATGAAAAAATAAATATTTGTAAGGTCTCATTAAATTTAAAAAACGTATTCGCCAAAACACATAAATTTAGATTGCATAAATTGGATAAGGAAATATATATATATAATAATGTGATTCATTAAATAATAACCTTTGAATCCATTTTGAATTCTGGAACGGATCAACATTCTCAAGGGTGCAATGCCTGTCCCAGGGCCTACCATTATGAAAGGATGACCTTTAAACGCTAGAGGTATTTGAACGAATCCTTTTTTAATCTTTATCGGAACGAATGTGTTTTCTAGAGAAAGAAAAAAACTTGAAATAATGTTGATTTGATAATCTAATTTTCTTAAATTTTGCGCTAGACATAAATAAACAGATTAAAAATAAATAAAATTTATATTCTCCGAGAGTTAACAATAACTGAGTTTAGCTAAATTTTGTATTATACGAAAATCGAGATGTACCAATTATAGAATATCAAGATACCAATCCGATTTTGAAAATATCAAGATGACTGTCAGCCTATTATCGACAGAAGCTATATAACGGGGAAAATTTCGTTTATAGCAAAAATAAAAGGCCCAATGTACAAAAATAAAATTAAAATACCTATCTTAAATTTTTTAATTTATTTATTCAATCTTTATCTTAGAAATGATAATGAAGGACTTGCAAGAACTAGGACTGTGGTGTATGTATGATACAGGCAGAGACGATATTGTACGTCGTGGGGAAAAGTTAAAAAATTGAGATAGGCAGAGGTCCAGATAGGCTAGCGAAATATGAGTTTGCACAATTTTGAAAAAGGTAAATTGAAATTAATTTTAATGGATAACTCAATATTAATGAATATTTAATAAAGAATTATGAATTGATTTTAAAAACCAGATAAAGTGGAAAGCCAAAAAGAGCAGGTTCCCTTGCGAGATTCACGTAGCTTAGATTTGTATTCCACAATTGCCACCAAAATTTCAACCGATTTTTCGATGTCGCTATCTATTATATCTATATTTATTTTTTTCAAATTTATAATTTAATGACATTTGTTTATAAAACAATTTGTAATAGAATAACCCTTTGCAAGGTGTCTAAATAAAGATCTTAAAAGTGAGAGCCTTTGAAAATTTTATCAAAATATGATTAGAATTTTTCTGGGATTAGGACAAAGCTATTTGTGATTTCAATTAAAAATTTTGGGCTGAATTCTTCGAAAAAACTATTTTTTTAAAAAAATGGGGAACCAGGCTCTGGATTAAAAAATATAAAACTCAGGATGAGATAAAGATATCAATTTAGAAGGGCAGTTTTAAGCGCTTTAAAAAATAAGGTATAATAAGATTTAAAAATGAAATAGTGAATTCTTGATCAACAAAAAAAAACACGATTCGTTTCAAGGGTGTCATATTAAGTTCGGTAACTAATCCAGTGAGTGAGTTTGTAAACATTTTTCAAATCCCCCCCCCCCCCTACAGAAATTTAGTGTTTATTTAATTCAACTCCTATAAAACCGATTGGCATAAAGAACCAATCATGCCGTCTTAAAAACAAAAAATAACTTCCATCCTGCCCTAGTTCATTTAAGCCAGTGTCTTGGCAGAAATTCACGCCGGCTATAGAAAAATCCCTCGGTGTGATTGGGCCGACGATGGATATAAGATGATCAAATGGAACGCATCTTGATGTGGCGGGAAAATCGTGTAAAACTTCCAAAATATTCCTTCGTGGCCGAGTAGAGTATGCGAGGAGTTCGTCTATATCATCAGGTAGTGGAGAGCAGAGCTGATTCAGCTTGTCTCGTTCTAGCTCTAATCTATCTGCATAGGTTTTGTAGAGGGTAGGTGGCAATGGTGGTTGGTTAGAATCAGGGAGATTCGAATGGGGAACAGATGATGTAAGGGTTTGAAAAGAGTTTTTTATCAGTTCCGATAGAACTGATGATACACGAAAGTCTATGTCAACAATAGGAATGCTATTGCGTTCCTGGGTAGAAAGCATGTTCTAGCGAAAAAATTTATAATAATATAACAAAGATGCGATTTATAAATTATAGCAGAATGTGATCAAATTCAGAGCCAATCAGTTTTTCAAATTCCAAATTTGGGACCAATAAGGGATGCAGGTTGGTCAGACTATTCTTAAATTAAATGCGCAGATAGCCGATATAATCTCTACATATAAAATTTTTTTAAAGTTAAATTAACCAGGTTTTCCTCGAGGAGATTATCCGTGATATTATTCGCTATTTGAAACGCGGTATGGGCATAGTAACACAGGAATCGGAAGAAAGAACGACGAGGTACCCCCTGAAGGTTCAAAAACCTTTTGACCAAATCACCGATCGTCAATTGGTTCAGGCCACTATCACGTGATGGCCCTAGAACGTGAGAATATTTTTGTAAAAAATCCGAGTTGCTAGAGATGGAGCCTCGCTGTAAAATACCGGTTATTTCTATAAGCTGGCAGGGGTTTAAATCGTAAAATTTATAAAAATCACTGCAAGTATCGGATCGATTTTCGGGTTGAAATGAAAGCACATCAAAGGGTTGGATGCTTTATTGAGTTATTTTTTATTTTGAAATATATCTAAAAAAAGGATGCCATGCCTTTGCTTTCAAAAAATTATTCTTCATTCTTTCATAAAAAAAGTATGCTAAGATTCGTGGGCTAATAAAGGAGAAACTAATCTTTATTAGGGCTATGTCGATCCACTAATTTTAAATAGACTTTATCAATATTTTCTAAAAAGAAACCTTTTCACAAAATATGTATTTTGTTTTTTTATACGACACAAAAGTTACCATCTCATTTAAAATATGGGCAATGTTTATGGCTGAAGCTATAAAATGGCTAGATGTAGTCAATTTAAAAAAAACGGTGAAATCAAAATTTTACATTTACATATTTTGTATTATTTGTCGCAAGCACTAATTGTGAATGAGAGGTAAGTTTTCAAATTTACCCCAATAGATATCCAAACCTTTCTGTCATCAAAATCTGCAATGAAAGCAGAATCAACAATTTAGTAACACTAGTTGAATGTGACTCATTAGATAGTTTTAAATCCATAGATAATATAACAAAAAACCATATCAAATTTAAAATATTCTATTTTTTTAAATAATTTGATTTTTTTAGCTAAACATTACAAATAAATTTAATTTTGGTTTCTTTTATTAATATATTGTTATAATAAACTTGAGTAAAACAACACAATCATAAAATAATCAAAAGAAAATGAAAATATCAAATCAGTTTTTTTAACATGATTAGAATCAATATTGAAAAAGGTTGACCTCGATCGAATCCAATATTTAATATAAACACAACAGCTCTATTTCCTTATAAGTCTCCATGATTAAAATAATAAATGGGATATGTCAGAGACTTTCAGGAGCCTTAATATCTTGACCAAGAAATTTCCAGGCAGAGAGTAAAAAATTTTTTAAGCCCAGGCCTAGCTTATATTTAATATTAAAAAAAATTGCCAGGCCTGGCTAAAGCCAAATTTATTATTAGAAGAAAATTGCAATATTCTTTTAGGTTAACAATTAAATAAAGCTAAATTTCAATAAAAAATATTTTTCAAAAACCCAGATTCGCTAGAAAATATAATTTAGGGGCCAAGCTATGGGCTGGCCCGATATATGAAGATCTTTGATATATAAGATAATGTGATCTTGTATAAAAAATGATACATCAATAGATGATATAATATTTGATCAATTATTGTGCTGTAAGGTTTTCTGACCATTTAACTTGTTTAATCATAATTTTTTTTAAGAGTAATCAATACAACCCCATACCTAATTTGGTATATTATATAATAAAATTTATAATGTTTAATTTCTTTCTATTTATAAATATTTTTTGAATTAATTTTTTAAAAAAAATTTCAATTGATAAATAAAAAAAAAATATTGTAAAAAAGAATATAATTTTAAACTTTTTTAAGTGTACAGGAAGTTGTGAAATATCAATCTTTAACAATCTTACATCTTGAAGATGATTGTTAGGTGTAACTCTTTTATTGCTAAACATGCAGCAATTATAATATTTATCACACATTGAAATATTTCTATTGTCTTTATTTTTATAATTGGGTGCTAAATTATTCTTGGCAACATACATTACTGAATATTTGAGATGTGGTCTGAAATTAATTTATAATTTTTATGTATTTCAATATTTAATACTTTAAATATATTTGAGAAGCCATTTTTTTAAAATCTAAAAATGAATTTTCTTCAAAAAGTTTCCATATTTTTATAAACCATTTTTCAAGAACTCTAAAATATTTCAATTTATAAAATGTATTATTTTTAATCACCCTTCATCAGATTGCTCATCAATTAATTCTAGTGGCAATAGTGGGATTGCCGACAATTGTTTTAATCGATTATTTAGTCTCTTAGCTACATAATTATATCTAAATTGTGTGATAAAATCTAGATTATCTATACTTTGAATAAGATGTGTCACCCAGCCCCAGTATAATATACTTTAGTTTTAACAAAGAATTATATGGAAGATCTTTTTTTAATAAAAAGCGCCAAAATATTTTCATGTTATCTGGTTCGTTTCCTTGTCCAGTGGTTGAGCATATAAAAATAACGCTTTCTTCATGTATCAGATTATGCCTTAATATAATATTCCGTTAAATTTATTTAACCAATAATTTTACAATATTGTATTCATCCATAGCAGATAAACTAGTCTTAATATTCCGAGTCTCAAGTTCTATTTGCAAAGTTTCAGCAGCATCTTGAGCATTGCCAGTTTGACTAGCATATAATATCAAAATCGATGATATCATTAAATATAATAATTGATTGAGTGATAGTTATGAAAATTACCTTAGGCTTGGCGTCAGACTGCCAATTAAATGTCAAAAAACTTCATTAATAATCGTTTATTCAAAATGAGCAAAACTAATATGATTTAGCATTTTTAAATGTCATTATTGTGCAAAATGAAATATGATTCAGCATTTTTAAAATTTGAGGTCAAATTTATTAAAATTAAATTACTAAAAAATGAAAAAAGATGCGTTACGTTGGGGAATTATATCAGCTGGTCGAATAAGTAATGATTTTTGTATAGGATTGAGAAGTGATCCAGATAAAGGACATCAGGTTGGTTTTGATAAAATACAATTATATCTATAAATAAAGCTAGTTTCATTTTTTGCTTAATTATTTTTTAAATTATATTACCATTTTTTAATTAAATAATCATCTAGAATGATTTATATATTTGGTCAAATAATAATTATTTTATTAATTTGTCATGATGATTGATTAGTTACCTTATTCATTTTTAAAGATTATAGCTGTAGCTGCAAGAGATAAAAAGAGAGCTGAAGAATTTGCTAAAAAACATGAAATACAAGAATCTTATGACAATTATGAAGCCATAGCAAATCATCCTAATATAGGTATTAAATTTAGTAAACTAGTTATAAATGTTATAGGTTGGCATGGACCAGTAAGATCCAGCATATAAATGCAGTATTTGGGTTGTTAACCTACTTAGAAATATTTTTATTTGGCCCATAAAATATGTTTTATACAAGTTTGCCAACCCAGCTCTTTATGATTTTCTTAAGCTTCTCCCCTAACATACCAACCCTCCTCTCTTCCAAAAATGTTTAAAATATATCACCATAAGAAAGAATTTGAGAGAAAAATTAAAATAAATTTTTAGAAAGCACTTTTATTTTAAAGTTAAACCCCATTTTTTTATTTATAAAAGTCACATAGTCAAAGACCTACATCTGAACCATAAAACCTTCAATAAAATTTATGGAGAAAATCCTACCTAAGGGTGTCTTCCCCTAAAATCCTGGATACACCTATGCATATTATCAAAGGTATTTTAAAATCTTTAACCTACCCATAAATTTTTTTATAATTTGCTTAGTTTAAATCTTTTTCCCCCATTAGCTTTATGAACCATAGAACTCTAGCTTCCTTATTGTCAATTTTGGTGCTCACATTTAAAAATTAATTGGTTTGGTGTAGATGGTTTACAAATTCTGAAACCTTAATGTCAACATATAATGTCTCACATTTGCTTTAAATAAAATACCAGCTTAATTGATCATTTTATGAGCTTATAAATATTGGTAATTGTTAAATTTTAAAATTGAATAAATTAAATAATCTTATTTTTTTAAAATAATTTTTATTCTCTAAACCAGATAATTGCAGAGGTACCATTTGCATGGCCCAGCCAGGATATTTTTTTTGAAAATTTTTTTTTGGCCTTACACAGATTTTTTAAAAATATATTATTCCTTTTTAATTTTTATAGATTATAATCGCAAATTAATATTTGGTTTTAAGATATACAGCCCAGCCTGGGTATCTTATAAAAACAAATTTTATGCCCATTAAAAAAAATTAAATATAGTCTGGCATGTGTATCTGGGTTGGGCTTCTAGAACTCAGCTCTAAACATAATTAAGGTAATATTGAAAATATCATAAAAGACTATATTTAAAACCTTTTATGCCATTTTTTTAAACACCTCTAAAGTCATTAGTGTGGTTAAATAGTTCGATTTGGGTTGATTTTTTAAAATGGCTTTAGGCATAATTTTATGTAAACTTTGAGATTTTACAAATAGAGGCTAAACCCTTCTGCTATCTATGAGCAAAATATCCAGGCTTAATTTGGTAAAACTTAATTGGGCCTTTTTTAAAAATTGAATCAAATTGGGCCAATAACAACACTAATCCTAATATACTTTTAACGAGAATATCACACATTGCCAACCAAATCATTTGACCTTCACTAAATATTTTCAATCATCACATATTTTATCTGCCCTCCTAAGTGTGAATACAGCAATACCCAATAGAAACTCATTTAGGTAATGTATCGTCCATTTTAATATAGTAAATTTCTCATGCATATGCTTTCCTCTCATCTTTTTTATGAACCATGTTTAAAAGAATCCTACCATCCCCTCAGCATACCTGTTAGAGGGAAGATACTAGTCCATTATTAAATCAATGCAACTTATTTAAATTTAATACCTATCACCACTAATCCTTCATCTAGAGATGTTTTAACCAAACTAAATACATAAATTCTAATAAGATTGAACGATTAAATATAAATAACCAATAAAGACCCGTGGTTTAAACCCGGGGTTTAGATAAACAAAATAAATCTCATTTACTAATCTTAAATTAAATCTTATTATACATTCTAATTATAAATTAAAGCTTTGTTTATTATTTTATTATACATTAATCTCATTTTCTTACCATTTAAATATTTGTACAAATTGGGGTGCTTTTGATTGGAATCAATTTGACCTAGCCAATTTTTCTCTTCCAGACTATGTTAAATTCACATATATTAGTTTATTTTATATATTATATAGTTAACAACCATCCTCAAAACTTTTATGAGGGGAGGGGATTATAGAATACAATTTTACAAATTTTCTTGGTTTTAATATCGATAATTAATTATTTCTTGAACATATTATTTTTTATGTGATGATTTAATAAACATGTTGATTAAATTAAAAATAAAACCCATTGAGATAAAAATATTTTGTTTGTAAAAATAATTAAAATAACACTTTCTTTCTTTAATTTAAAAACTTGAAGTTGAAAGAAAATGTTAACATTTTTGATTAAACTTTATTTGGTAAAAAAATTAAAACATGAACATGAATATTTATATACACTATTGAATTAAAAATATATATTAAAAACAAAAAAATCAATATAAAAACATATAATAAGAAGGGAAATTAAGAAAAAAAAAATTAAAAAATTATTTAAAAAAAAAGAGGGATATCTAATTAGGTGTGGTCCATGGGGCTTATTGGCCCATGAATGGATATACAGTTTGAACGGCAGATTTCGATTGAAATCCTTTGGCGGAGGTAGAAACCTTCTTTTCGGATCACCTGTGATTAATCGTAACCTTTGCCCTATTGTTTTGAATAATTTTAAGGCTTGGAGTCCGAATGATCCACAGGTATCTGAGACTACCAGAGCGAATAAAATATTATTAAGGTGGCAATATTTATTTGTTTTTGTATTCTCCGCTTTTGAGATGGAGTTGGCAGAAAAAGATCTGACAAAACGATCAACGCAGGTATAGTCCCAAGCGAGAGGTAAACCTTGGTTCCAAGGGACTAACGTCAAACCATCCGGTCTGGTTTGATTATCGGAGCTAAGACCGGTAGGTTCCAGTGTGGAGGGAGTATTTGTAGATCTCAGCGTTCTATTGATTATTGAATTAATGGCATAATGTCTAGGAAGTCTGCCTTTTGAGAAACGACAGTGTAGGGGGTGGTGTCCTAGACTATCAATGTGAGATTTACATAGGACACAAGTCGTAGGGGTTACGATATCGCAGCCTAAGCGAAGGCCTATAGCTATTCTGAGTTCTTCGTTGGTAAGTAGTAGGCTTAGATTAGAGCTAGGGATAGTTTCTAACCATTCATATCCAAGATGGCATATGGGTGGGGCTGGATTTATTTGATCTGATAAAAGGGTCGTATTATGGACATCGAGTATGCATGGAATTGAGCTTGGGTGGAGAAAAAGAGATGGAGATTTTCTTTGAACAGCTTTGAAGTGTAAGTAATCGACACAATGCTATATCAATGGCAAATTCAAGTCTCTTTGTCTTATAGAATTGGGATGTGAGCCGTTTGGGGCGTTTTTTTCCCATAGATCTAATGCTATCGTGTGATGTGGGTCGATAGTATCCAAGTCTCCGAGTGTATGACGAAATTTAGCAACTGAGGATAGGAAGGCTGAGATGCTCAAGGAGATGGGGGATTGGATGCCTATACCTCCTAGCTTTGGTGGAAGGGCAGCTTGCATCCAGGAGAGTGATGTGAATTTAATGTTTAAAATGGATTCTAGGGTAATTTTTAAATGGACTTCGAGGTCCAATAGTATTTCAGGGGATGTGAAGATTGTCGATGAACGGAAGGTATGTAAAATCTTTGGGATGAATAAAAATTTTTAAGCAAATAAAAAGCCTGATGGACAGTTAAATGTTTTAAAATATTTGTCATTCTATTGAATTTGACAAGGAATTCATCTCTGAAATGAAATTTTGCATTTTCTCCTCCAATGGGTGAACCTAGATGGGTAAAGCTAGCTTTGTTTACTGTGATAAATTTTTAGGAGGGCAGTCTGATTCAAGAGGTGAATAAAATTGACATTTATTTGGGTTTAGTAACAGTCCTGTAATAGGGGCTAAGCCATTTATAATTGTTGGAATTTTTATAATTTCGTTATATGGGTCAGCTACAGTGCCGTCGTCCAGGTACCAAACATTTAGTTTAAGGTCACAATTGGAAGAAATTTCCTTTATGATTAATTGGATACCTTGACAGAATAATGCTGGACCTAAAGGATCTCCTTGTTGGATACCTTGTTTAGATAGAATGATAGAATCATTAAATTTTAAAAAGGTGGATTGGTTGTAACATGCAGAAATGTATGTTGAATAATCTGGGAATATTTCACAAAAAGAGGGTATAAAATGTTCCCTTCTAAGTAAATTGAAGGAATTTTTGAGGTCTATTTTAAGGATGCATTGATCTGTATTGTGGAGAATGACAGGTGTCGAGTGGGATGCCGCCTCACATCATCCAGGAACATTAAAACCAAGCTGGTTTGGTTGTAGTAAGTTGGATAGGTTAGATTTTATACAGGAGCAAATAATTTTGGAAATTATACGTCGGAACAATGACCCTATTGCAATAGGTCTGATGTCCCCGTTGGTTTTATTTAAGGATATTAAACGGGCTCCAAAAATAATTGGCTGAATGGTGATGGGAATATTATTATAGAAAATATGATTGAGCAATATAGTAAGCTGAGTGAGAATATTTTGATATAGGGGTAGGGATGGTTTAATTATATCTTGTAGATATATGGCTCGAAAACCATCAATGCCTCCAGAGGAATCTTTTTTGAATGACATGATTGCATCCAAGATCTCCTTCTCAGTTAGTGGAATGGGATTATTGGATGGTGGAAGGATAATTTGTGAAAAATCTTGAGGATGTTTAGATTGCAAGGCCATGAAAGTTTTATCATTATTGGGGGCCATAGTATCACTGGAACAAGCTATGTTGATAGCTGAATTTACATTGCATAAGTTAATTTTATTTTCAATAAGCTTGGCCTTTTTCTTATCTGTCAAAAGGTTATTAAAAGAATGAGGGGGTTGTTTAGTTTTATCAAAATAACTTGTGTCATTAGAATTTAATGTTTTTTTGATGTTTTGTGAAATTTGATTTTGAAGTTGGAAGATGTAGATTTAAATATATAAGTGACAATAGTTTTTTCCAATTATCTAAGCTTTTGATATTTTTATTTAGGGAGGTAAAAGTGGCTAAAATTTTTGAGAGAATAAAATTTGAGCACCTTTTGGGATGCGAGCTATTGTAGGTGGGAGGCTTTCCTTCATAAATTTTTCTAACCATTCTTGAGACTCAACAATAGATGTTGAATTAATGTTATTATCTGGGCATGAAGATGTAGGTTTGTTTTAAAAGTATTGTGGGAACTTGAAGATGTAGGTATTGGTTCCAAATTAATATTATTAATAAGAGCAGGATAAGAAGATGGTGGGATGCGAGCTATTGTAGGTTGGAGACTTTCCTTCATAAATTTTTCTAACCATTCTTGAGCCTCAACAATAGATGTTGAATTAATGTTATTATCTGGGCATGAAGATGTAGGAATTGTTTCTGTGTTATAAGTATTGTGGGAACTTGAAGATGTAGGTATTGGTTCCAAATTAATACTATTAATAAGAGCAGGATAAGAAGATGGAGGGATGATAGGTTCATTGTTAAAGAAAGTTCCTGATGAAGGGCATCTGTTGGCACGTTTACCATGACAAATAATTTTATTTCCTTTTATTAGAGATACATTGTTATTGCAAGTAGGACATATAACCATGGTTCATGTTATTTATATATATATTTATGATTAAAGTTTAATTTATATTGAAAGATTCTTGATAGAGCTTAACAGCTGCTGTATTATTTTTTAAAAACTCAGATAATTTAATTTTAATTAAAACTATATAAAAAGTTTTTTTGATTTTATCTATTTTAACTTCAGAATAGCCAGGAGAAAAGATAATTTCTTATACCCCCCCCCCCCCAAATAAAAAGGGCTATCTAAAAGTATTCTAAATATCCCATTCAAGCTCAATCATATCAAATTTAAAAACTAATGTTAAAATGTACTTGTCCAAGATACATTTCTAAAATTATTTAAAAAAAATCAATATTAAAAAATAGCGATGAAAGTTCACACCTCATTCTGAACTAGGTCGGGGCATAGCTATACTAATTTATTAAGCCAGGGCATGCTGAAACAAGTTTTAAGAAAGTTTCCATCGACCAGTCTGTTTTTTTAATCCTTTTTTTTTAATACCGGAAATTATTTTAAAACTCAAAAAACGAAAGGATTTATATTATGATTTAAATATTTCAAATATATAAAATAATTTCTTATATGAAATTAAAGAAAAATTAAAAAATTTTTTTTATAAATTGCAAATGTTTTATTTTATTTATTTTTTAACAAAATATTTATATATAAATGGGATGAGACTTTACAAAATTTCTTAGTTATAATATCGTCTATTATCTCTTGAACACATTATTTTTTAACTTTGCCATAATTATGCTCAACAATCAGCCAATTTTATTTAAATTTTAGCAATTAAATTTAATATTTTGACAGAGTTGAAAGGCCGAGCTTAGAATAAAATTGTTCTTAGAAAAATCCCATCCCCCCTCTATTGATTTAATAGTTTTTCTTTTTTTATTAATATTAATGGCAACTTATTAAGCTAGGTATAGCATTGAAAAAAATTATTTTGATTTTGAGGCTTTGTCCGCATGAAAGAAACGTGTGTATATAAATATATGTACACTAATCTTTACTTAATATTATATTAGTTATTGTGCTTCTATAGCTTAAAATTCAAGTATTATATATTTATAATTAATGACCAAGAATATTAACATTGGGGTAAAGTACGAGTAGAGATATATTTATTTATAAAATTTGAATTAAATTGTAAATATATACAATAGAATTTAAAATACACTATTAAATAATTATAAGCAATATCGGAAACAGGAAGGTATCTTGCTTGTGGATATAAACTTGATCATACATACAATACCACTAAAAAATATATATAAAATATAAAATTATTATTAAATATATTTAGAAAAATATAATTTAATTATTTATTAAAAAATAAATAATTACTATGCATAACAAATTATTGCCTTATATCGTCATGAAGACCCATTATATTTATATCCCAAGATGATAACGATATGCATTGTTTTAGGGTGGAGGGAGCCATCCTGCTCCTCAATTTAGTAATAGTGTTTCTGGTAAGATTAAAAGTTCTTTCCGATGCCATGTAAATTGTTTGATGACATAGAAAGTCTCTCGCCATCTTAGCTAAATGAGGAAATCGATTTTCATTCCCTCTCCACCAATCTAGCACGTTTGTTGTTTCGGGCGCTACCGGCTCAAGAAGATAGGTCTTTATTTGATTCCTTTAATGGGGCTACAAAAATACCTCTTCCAGTGAAAACAAGATGGAACAGCATATATCTTATGATAAAAGCCATTAATTAAATATAAAATCAAAATAATTTTGTATATTTATTATTTCTATTTTTTATCTATTTATAGAATATCAACGCAATACAACACCTCAAGGAACTTGGGTTAATTGAAACCTATGGCTCCTGACAATATAGAATTCTTCACAAATTTAGAAGAATTTCTAACCCCATTTTATTAAATCACTGTTGAATATCAAAATGTATTATATTACAAATATACCTTCTTTTCAATCTCTGCTTTTAAGGTTAGAAGGATTGTTATTAATATTATTATTGAATAAGTACTCATCAAATGGCTCCGTCATATATTTTGCTTAAATATCTTTGAATATAGTCATATTTTTAACTGCTGCATCTTCCTTTAAATTAGCTATTAGTGTATTTTTAATCCTAGGATCTAGTATTGATGCAGCATAATTATTAAGTGTATTAAAAGTTGGCTATATTTGTCGTATTTTTTTTCATCAATGTTGCTGCTTCTTATGTAAGCATTTGAATTCCCTATCTCTTGATTTTCCAAATTATCCAGTATATCATAGTAGAATAATATTGCCATCCCTATTGTTGAAGATTGTGCGCGTATTTCAATCGTTTGATAAAATAGGGTTAAAAATTCTTCTAAATTAGTGAAGAATTTTATATTGCCAGGAGCCAAAGAGGTTTCAATTAACACAAGTTCCCTAAGGTGTTGTATTGCGTTTATATTTTTATAAATAGATAAAAAATTAGAAAAATAATATTATAAATATACAAAAATATTTTTATTTTATACCTTATTAATGACTTATATCATAAGATATACGCTGTTCCATCTTGTTTTAACTGGAAAAGGTATTTTTGTAGCCACATTAAAAGAATCAGATAAAGACCTATCTTCTTAAGCCGGTAGCGCCCGAGACAACAAACGTGCTAGATTGGTGGAGAGGGTATGCAAATCGATTTCCTCATTTAACTAAAATGACGAGAGCCTTTCCATGTCAACAAATAACTTCCTTGGCATCGGAAAGAACTTTTCTCTTGCCGGAAATACTATTGCTATATTGAAGAACAGTATGACTCCCTCCGCCCTAAAACAATGCATTATCATCCTGGGATATAAATGACGATATATAGCAATAATTTGTTAGGTTATATTTTTTTTAATTATATTTAATAATAATTTTATATTTTAAATATTTTTTTAGGCTGGTATTGTTTGTATGATCAAGTCTATATCCACAAGCAAGATACATTCCTGTTTACGATACGAAAAATGAAAAAATTCTATAATTATTTAATATTCTAATGTATATATTTCAATATAATTCAAATTTTAAAAAAATAATAAATTTAAGAAATAATTATCGATATTATAAGAAATTTTGTAAAGTTGTATTCTATAAACACCCCCCCCCCCTCTCCCCTACAAAAGTTTTGAAGAGGGTTGTTAACTATATAATATATAAAATAAACTAAATATATATGTTAGTCTGGAAGAGAAAAAATGATACAAATTGATTCTAATCAAAAGAACCCCAATTTAAACAAATATTTAAATTGTAAGAAAATGAGATTAATGTAAACAAAGCTTTAATTTATAATTAGAATGTATAATAAGATTTAATTTATGATTAGTAAATGAGATTTATTTTTTCTTAGTTTTCGCTTATCTGAACCCCGGGTCTGGGTTTTACACAACCAACCAATTAACAACATTACTAGATACACATATTATATCGACTTAAACGAGATAGGCAAAGAATAAATGGAAATTAATAAGAAAATTGACATAATTTTTACTCATGTTTTTGGGGTTTGTGCCTCTCAACATTTTTCTTATAAGTTATAACTGATTTCTCGTATAATCTACCTAGCGAACTTTTTAAGATTTGGTAGCCACACGTCGAGCTATAACCATGCTTCACAGTTAGCGTTTTGAATATTTCACCGCGAATTCGCGCTAACTATGAAATTGACTATATTTAAATTTATGCTTCAAAAAACAACATTATTAACGGTTTTGCTGGTATCTGGGTTATATCACAAATTAAGCAAAAAATGAATAAATATGCTTTCAGAATTAATACCTCAAATTACCCTATACACGGATTAGGTTGATATTCAATTTGTAAAAATGACTAATAATAACCCGTGATTTAATATTAATTATGTTATTTTATATTTTAAGAGGTGTATTATGTGGGCACAACTAATAATGCTCATCACGAAGTTGTGATGATGCTGCTGAATTTGGGTAAAAATGTGTTGTGCGAGAAGCCACTAGGAATGAACGTTAAAGAGACACAAGATATGATTGCCGCAGCTCAAAAAAATAAAGCCTTTTTCATGGAAGTAATTTGTACCACAAATTAGCTTATTCCTCATGTTAACCAAATAATTCATTAGATTTAGGGGTGTACCTATACCATTTTTTCCGATCCCATATTAGAAATATCGACCTATTGCCGATCTGATATCATATCATATCTGATTGTATTCTGTAAACATACTAATCGTCTTATTTTATTTAAATTCAAAATTAATCTATTTACAAATAAATAAATATATTATTGTTATAAACTTCAATTAAAAATAGTTTGCTCTTATCCTTCTTTGTTGTCTTCAATACATAAAAATTAAATAAAGTTTTTTCTTTTGCCCTTCTTTTGTCTTGTCGTAAACACATAAAAATTAAATATAGTTTTTTCTTCTGTCATGTCGTAAACACATAAAAATTAAATAAAGTTTTTTCTTTTGCCCTTCTTTGTCTTATCGTAAATTCATAAAAATTAAATAAAGTTTTCTTTGTTTGATTTAAATACTTTTAAGATCAACATATGGTTTTTGTGTTTTCTTTACTTAGGGGTTTTACTTACTTTTGGAGTCTTAAATAGGTAGCCCTGCATCCATTTGTATAATTAGAGTTCCGGAAAGTATAGAGGGGTAGGTTTTATCTCTAATTATGTAAGATAAAACTAACACAACTCCGTTTTGTAAAAACGTTCTTTTTTTTCACTTTGCGACAATTTTATTTTATAATTGCGCGTTTCATTTTCCCTATATAAGGGACAAATTTTTATATTAAAGATATACTTTATTTTTTTTGGTTTTCAAATTTGCTTAAAATTATAATTTATAATTAATTATTTTCTTTTTTTAAATAAAATTTAAAATTTAATTGCTGTTGTTGCTTTAATATTCTAAAATGATGCATACCAAAACTTATCGAGACGTGCCACCTACCATTCTATCCATAACTGAAGCCCCGACACTTCAATTATGAAATTTTAAATATCTAAATTTATAATTAAAATTGGAATTTGATCTTATTTTTAATATACATTTTTTTAAAAAAAATTAAGAAACAGTTTTCTCCGATCGGAAAATTTTAACCTCGACCGATAACCGATATTTTTAAAAGATCAAATATCCGCCCAATCCGATCAAAAATATCGGCGCATCCCTAATTAGAAAATCTCTTTTTTAAACTTTGAAACGCCTATTTCTTATTTTCTTCCTTTTTTTAAAAAAGGTTTTGTTAAGGCTCCGTTACTAAATATCGAATCTGGTCAATAATTTCAAAAAAACTATTCGATTTTACAAGAGGAGATAAAAATTACAATCCGCTTCAAACATTACCCATATTTTAACGAGATGATTAAACTTAAAAAAAAACAAAATGCACATAAACCAATATAATATTATGGAAACCTGGAGATTTTAGTCATAAGGGGCAGAAAAGTTTGAACATCTGTTTGCCAAATCTCATGGCTTACATGATATTATTCTGGCTAAAATCTTAATCTGGCCGTTTTTAAAAATCGGGATTCTTAATAACACTAGTGGTAGTTCTGAAAAATATTTTTTATTTGACATTGGTCAAAAAATGGTAAATGAAAAATTTAAGCATTGGTTTTTCTGATCGGTTTTATGGAAATATGGGATCGGATCTATGAAAAATTATGTGAATCGGCATAGCACTAATTTTTGTTGTTAGTGAAAAGAGGGAAAACATCTTTATTTTTTTTTGTCAGTTGAAGGGTAAATCATAAACTAAATAATATTAAACTCAAATTTTAAATATCTTATTTCTAATTTTATACAAAATTTATATATATATATTTTTTGAATAAAAATTAATATTATATTTTATAAATAAAATTTAAAAAAAACAAAGGGAATGTGGGCCAGATTTTTTCCTGTGCAAGTTAAACTAAGAGAAGAATTAAAGAAAAAAACCTTGGGGGATGTTAAATTAGTAACAGTAACTTTTGGAATGGCCGTTGATAAGGATAAAATGCAAAGAGTTCTAAAGGTACATATATATGTAAAACAAAAAAATATTTTATTTATTCGATTTTTCTGTGGGACTTTAGTTCATGACAATAAATTTTGATTAATTTTTTTAATGCTATTTTTTTTAATGGGGTTGTCAAAATAGAGCTTGAAATCAGGAGTTCTCTTTTTTTAAAGAATTTATGAATATTCGGTTCCTTAAATATATTAAATGGCCGTCTGGTTTGGGAGAAACGAGAACAGCTGATATCGGTTAAAATTGAATGTATCGACCGATATCGCCTCGTCTTTGATTTTAAACGATATACGTGTAAATTACTTATACATTCGTTTAGAATAAGTTTCCGGAACCTGTTACCTCTAAATTTAAAAATGGATTCCTGTTTATATAAATTTTAAAAGAGAGTTTTAGATTTTCGGTTTCTTAGATTGATTTCCATTCCAAACTCTGTTTAATAAAGTATAAAATAAACCATTTTTCATTTAAAAAAACAATAAATTTCAAAGCCAGAATTAGGTGGCGGATGTATGATGGACATGGGTGTGTATACTATCGCTATTTCTCAGATGGTTTTTGGCGAAATGCCTAAAAGTGTAACTGCCGTTGGATACCTAAATGAATATGGTGCGTTTATAAATCTAAATTTTACAGATTCTCATATAAGATTAACTTTTTCCTAAGAAATACTAAAGTATTTCTCTTCTATCGATTTTGAAAATCTGTTTAAAAAGATCGATTTTTCTTTATTAATATTAATTTTATCTAATTCTATTCAATCATGATAGTAATCCAAGAAATATTGATTTTAATAAAGAAAAATGATCTTGTATAAAAGATTTAAAAAATCTATCAGATCATAGTGAAAGTCAACAGTTCGTTTCTATCGGTCTTAGACCTGGATCGGGTTGACGGGGATCCTTTTTGAGGACCATATTCTAGGTCCGGTCTTTTATTAATATTCAAGTTTGCTATAATTTTTTACTTAATTATTTTGGTTTATTTTATTTTATATCATTTTTTAGAGGAACTATTTAATTTTTGTGAAATTTTAAGTTCATTATTTTGCAATATGAAAACCATAAGTTTGTCCAAAGAAGTATTTTACTTATAGTCCCAACGAACAAGAATTTATTTGGGGCTGCTGTCTGGATCGTGTAAAAAAATTCCTATTTTTATTAATACGTTATCAAAAGTTTAAGTTTATATATGAGCATATATTAGGAATGAAAATAAAAAAAGAATTATCTTATTCGGGAATTGTTTTTTTCCTATTGTAAATAATTTTATTAAAAAAAACGATTTCAATTTAAGTTTAAAATGCAGTATAATCGATAGTGTTGTTAAATCACTCGAATTGACCTTATTTTTAAAACCGGCTAACTCTATGTTTGCCAAAGAAATATTACCTAAGCCTCGATATTTTGTTAATGGATGTCCAGACCTTTGTACCATCTATGAGCAATATCTTCAGGCTTGCGTAATATTTTATTGGATAAAATATTGAGTTAAACGTTTTAAAAAATAAGTTTAAATTGAACCACGCTTGAAATTTATTAAAAAAAACAAATAAGCATATATTAAAAATTTTATGGAAAAAAAATATTATGTATAAATTATATATAAAAAACATATGTTTAGGAAAGTGTATAAATATTTTCCCGAAAGGGGGCGTCTTTGTATAAAATTATATATTAATAATTTTTTAATGGTTTTTCTTGAACTATTTGATATAATTAAAAGGATTATTCATCTTGTAAGTGAAAATAACAATAAATGGAGCTTTCATTCAATTATAGAAATTGTCTATCGATAAAAGAAATTCAATTTATTACTTTATTTATAATTTATTATAAAAATTTTTGCCCATATAACATATATTTAATAAATATTAATAAAATATGTTCAATTAAGTTTCGAGTTCTTGAATATATGAACCAGAATCTTGTGCATTTCATATATGGCGCCCTAAATATTAAAAAAATTGATATAATTTAAATTTAAACTCACTTTTAAAAGATTCTAATTTTTCGGTAGCGCATTTACTTTCTTGTGACGACAATGTATAGTATAACTACGGCCAGTAGCATTTAACAGTGAAACTAATGTTAAGATATGACATTTGGGCAAGCAAAGAGTGTCGTCTATACTTGGAAATGTAAAGGAATTAGAAGGTCCGGATGGGTGTAGAAACTTTATATATATTTCTTCCTGCTTTTGATTTTTCACTAAAACAAAGCTAACCACCAATTAGAATCATAAGGATACGTTAGGTATCCTGATATTTCTTCAATAATTATACTTTCATCATTATATGATAACTATTCTAAAGTACTTTCTATTGAATTGGAATACATTTTACTTTTAAATTATGTAGATCTGTTGGAATCAAGGTGTGTATTTTGTGTGTTCCAGGTATAGATCTAGTTTTTGAAAATCTTTCCCTGAGTAATAGATCTTCGTAATCATTATTTATTTTGGTCATCTATTCAAAATATATGACATTAATATTTTCTTTAGCTAACTCGTACAATTCATATGATGTGTACTTTGAGTAAGGCCTTGTAAACTAGCTCTAGAGGCTAATCTTTTAACAGTGCCACCAATCCCATCACAAACACTTTTCCCGTGTGCTGTAGCAGAAAAATGCCATTTCGCCTGTACCCCGAAATCCATCTCATGATAGCAAATATTAATAAAATTTTTACGATTTTTATACTGTGCAGCGGATCCACCGGAAAACAAAAAATTTTATTAATTAAAAAATTTAGCAATGTTTTTTTAAAGTTATGTACTGCTATTGTATTGTGTTGCAAAGATTCGGATATCATTACATAATTTAGGCAACAAATATTGGCAAAATTATCTTTATAATATATAACAAAAGGGTGAACAGTGGATTGAGCCCTATTCCAATGATAATTTTGTACTTCATCCTAAAGTATAAATCTATAGTTTTCTTAAAAATCACAAAATTAAATATTGGTCTTCGTCTAAGTTCAATTTTAGATTGTTTTGATACAACGATTGTTGCGTTGAAATAAAAAAATGATAAAGATTCCATTTTTTTTAAAAAAGGCATTGATAAATTCACCTACTGGTTTGGTTATTGTTTCAAGAGTGGTTCTATCTACGGATAGCCATTGTTTGTATGTTATAAATTCGATGTCCTTAGAACGAAACAATATTTCTATTTGATCGCGTAAATGTGTTGACCCTAAACAATTATCACATTTGCCCATATAACTGGATGGTTGAGGCCAATTACAAATTATTAAGTGTAAAATATGTTTGTATGTTTTAAAGGGCAACATATCATTGGTTAAATTTGATCCAATGATCATTAATTTAAATTTTGGTGGTAGCTGCAATCACATACATGTGTACCACTACCTTCAACAAGTATATAATTTTTGGGCGAATGCTTGCGAATTTCGAAAAACCAATTTTAACATCAGGCCTCATTTCTTTAAAAAATATATAAATTTTTTTCAAATTATCTAAAATTAATCTCTTATGTATGGTATTCTTTTTTCCGTCTTTGGTCAAAATCGAAACGCAATCTTTCTTGCCTGGCATGATTCTGCTTATTTCGTCCATACAATAAAATTCTTGTACAATTTTAACTGTATATTCGTCTATAGTTTTTCCAGGCTTGGGGTTAGGTGTTGATAGAAATCAAAATACCAAGAAATTTATTAAAAAATGAATTAATATAGTGAGCATGTGTTATTGAATGATTAAAACCCTTTCGCGCCCGAAATATTTCCCATGAACAAAAAATACTTGTACTTTGATATAATAAAATAATCATTTTGACATTTTGATATAATAAAATAATCATTTTGACAGGTTAATGATAAAATATGAATTAATAAATATTGTTTTATAAATTAATATCTCTAAGTACCAACCATTAGTTTCTTTAAATATAAAAATTAATTGATTAAAAATTTTAATGACAAATGATCTCGCTGGGCGCGAATCAATTTTAAAATTTTTATTTATTTTATTAATTGAAACACTTATTTATTGTTATTCTAATTTAGTAAGGCTATGCCGATTTTAGAAAATCCGATCCAATATTTATATTGTTTTGGGTAATTTTATGATAATACTTTTATTTTGTATATAATTTCATAATTGTAATATTTTAAAAATATCAAATTATTTTAAAAAATTGAGTAGAGAAAATTTTGATATTATTTTTGGCGTCTATGAAATGGATAAGATTATGATTCATATATTCAAGAACTATAAACTTGGTTGAATATATTTTATTAATATTCATTAAATATATGTTATATGGGCAAAAAATTTTATAATAAAGTAATAAATTGAATTTCTTTTATCTTTTATCGATAGACAATTTCTATAATTGAATGAAAGCCCCATTTATTGTTATTTTCACTTACAAGATAAATAATCCTTTAAATTATATCAAATAGTCCAAGAAAAACCATTAAAAACTGATTAATATATAATTTTATACAAAGACGCCCCCTTTCGGGGAAATATTTATACACTTTTCTAAACATTTTTATCGATTTTGAGAATGAAGATGGCAGCGTCCCAGACCAATTTTTTTTTATAAATATAAAGGAAGAGTTTAATAATGTCTACTAAATTTTTTAAAAAAATTGAAGGTCGTATTATTTCCAAAAAATTGTTTTTAGTCCTTATATATTAAATAAAATGACCGGAAATTGGAAAAAAAAATAAAATTTTTTTTTTATCTAAAAGTAGAATCTTTGTACGTAATTTTGATATTAAATTTGTTATTTACAATTATGTAGTTTTTAAGATATGCTTAATTGAATGAAGGCAGATAATGGTAAAAATACGTCATTTTTGCCACTTTGAACCCTAATATCTTCAAAAATATAAATGTCAGGAGGCTAAAATTTTGGCTATTTCTTAGTTACATTGACCTTTCTTTGCTTACGAAATTTTAAAAAAATCGAAGGGGGTCGGCCGAATCGTGGTTGATTTGTCATGGAATGACCCTAAAAAGAAATTTTGGAAAAAGTGGTACATATCACCCTAGTGGGGAGTAAATGCTTATGAATTTTTTTTCCCATTATTTGCAAATTATAATTCTTTTTGTTATTTGAATTTATCAAAAAATAACTTTTCTAAAATCAGAATATATATTTATGTTTCAAAAATTTTGTTAAAATGATGTCTGTTTTCTTTTGTTCTGTGTTTTTCGAAGAAAGAGAATATTTTCATAAATATATAATTTTCGTTTTTTTTACATCCCTAATTTGTATACAATAAATATATCAAAGACCTGCAGAGGTACGATTAAAAAAATTTCGGCTTGGCTTAGCCCTCAGGCCCTGCCCGGATTTTTTTTTATAATATATTATATTAAATTTTTAAAGTTAATAATGGCGATTTTAAATATTTGGTTTTAAAATATTAGACCCGGGTATTTTTTTAAATATTTTTTAGGTCCGGTCTGGGTATTTTTTTATTAAAAAAATTTTTTTTAGGCCAGGCCCGGGTATGTTTAAAAAATTAAATCCGACCCGGGTACACGAGCTTGGTTTAGGGCTAGGTCTTTGAAATATATATAAATATGCTTCATTGAATGTGGAATATAATATAACATTTTTTAAATATTTTGATTATAAAATAGGTGTTGATGTACTTGATTCTGTCACTATGCTATACTCGGGAGAAAGAATGGCAACTTTTCAAGTGACTTGCATGAGTGAAGTTCCTAATGAAGCCATAATTTGCGGAACTAAAGGAACAATCAAAGTTTGATCTAATATATTATCATATATTAAATAGTAAACTTTCCAATCCAATCTATAATATGATGTATAAGTTTTATGTTTTTATCGTATAATTTTTTAAATAAATATTTAATTTATAAAAATATTAATACGTATAGTACATGTTATATATGAGCTCAGACGAGTTTTATCAAATCGGGTCAGGTTGGGGCTAGGACCGACGCGCCTGTAAGCTACCGAAAAAGATAGCTAACTTTGATAGGGCATTAAGAATATCATTTCCATTAATATACCTCTTTGTTATAAAATTAAATAGCTTAATCATTTCATGTGCCTAGATTAGATATATGGAAAGCGCCAAATCCTAAACTGAAATTATATTTTTGACCAAAAAAACATTTGCTATTGTTATCGTCAAATATTTTTTTAAATAAGCTGAGAAGCACTGATACCTTGAGGATTTGTTCTCCTTTGGTTTGGCCTATACTTTGATTTTACCGATACAAAATTATCCAACCATCCAAATGTTATATGGTAATAGCCTGAAATCCTGTAGAGCGTTCCTAAATCTGGAACGGAACATAAAAACCTTCTTGTTACGGGTCCTTAATATATATATATATATTCAATACGTATACTAATTTAGATTCATAAGCCGTTTTGGTGTAGCAATTCGATGGAAATCTTGGATAAGAAGCACGAATTTCCTTTTCCCAAACCTGTAGCCAAATCTTACTACGATAACGGAGTGGGATTTCTTTACGAAGCAAACGAGGTTAAGAACTGTATTCGTAAAGGTTAAATATATATATTTTTTTAAACGAAAGAAAAACTTGTGGAAAAAAAAACTCGACTGAAAAAAGGGCGGACTTAAAATTTAGTCCTTTTTTCTTATAGATATTACAGATATATTTATTGACTAGAAATTTTATGCATGATGTAAGATATTTGAATAAATCGGTATCAATATATATATATATATAATATATAACCATTTAAATAGTGTTTAATAAAGATTCCCTCATATTTTTATTTTTAAGTTTTTAACTCCCCATATTTTTTTTTCGGTCGAGTTTTTTTTTCCTGGATTTATTTTTTTTCTCCAATTTTATATCTTATATATTTCGAAAATATAAATTTATTATTAATAATAAAAAATTATCGAAAATATAAATTTATTATTAATAATAAAAAAATTATCTCATGTGTCGGTCAAATTACATGAGCATTTATAACTCTTTGGGGGGACGTATTTTTTTAAAGAATTCATAGATGTCTCCTTAATTTTTAATTTATCTCTATTTTTTTTAAAAAATCATTCCTATCCTCTTTTTTTTAAATGGTAGTTTTATGTTAGAAATACGAATAAAAAATTATTGAAAAAAAATTAACTTATTAAACTGCATTTTGAAAATTAAGGACTAAAAGAATGTCCTATCGTCACTCACCAGGATACTTTGACATTTGCCACTTTGATCGAAAAATGCCGCAAGATGATCGGAGTTAAATATAACCAAGACCAGCAATGAACACATAAATATTACAATTAAAATGTTAGAAAAATAAATTAGTTTATTTATTTTATAAAATGATATATATTTTATTCGTATTTTATAAATATGTAGATAATCATTACAAAAATAATTATGACATAGACAATCTTATTTTTTAATTTAATGAATTATAACAATTACGGGTTAGTTTTCCCTTTAATATAAAATATAGTAAAAATAAAATAGATATAAATTTTTATTTCGAATCATTCTGTCACTTTTTTATTGTCCATTATGGCTTAGGCATCGTTTATAGTAAACTACGATTTCTTAATAATTTGCGATAATCAAGTGGAATCATGCTAAACATTTTAAGGTGATCTAGAAGATCATTTAAAGTTGAATAATATAAGATATCAATAAATATATCATTAAATTATACATTTAAAAAATATCACGAATTTCCATAGTCTTCAAAAAATAAAATATGGAAATTAGATAATAATTATTAAATCAATATAATACTTAAAACATCTATTAGCTCTAATCTCGAGCTCTGGGTAAAATATAGAGTCAACCGTTTTTAAAAATCGACTAAAAGTATAACAACATGGGATGACATATCTTGAAAAGAATTTTAGTTGGGTTTTTACATAACTTGTATTCTTTGTTGGGATTTTTATTTTTAGATATTTTAACCAGTGTTATTAATAATCCCGATTAAGATTTCGGTCAAAATAATATATTGTTAGCCTCAAGAAAGAAAGAAAGAATCTTTCTTTACATCGAGCATACCACGCTCACCCAAATTACCTGACCTTCGCTTAATATTTTAAATCCTGGCATCTATCTCTTACACGTTTTATCTGCCCTCATAAGTGTCTAAATAGTTTCAATAATTCTACCTAAGATTAACTTAATTTGGGAATTCTTCACCTCTTTTTTTTAATATTATAATATAAATTACTCATAAATATTCTTTCCATATTGAACGATTTTCAGAAAATCTCTTCAACTAGTGTTGTTAATAAGTCAGATTCTTTCGACTACTAGTAATAGCCGTAGTCTCTGACCTCGATTAAAAACTAGCTACTATACTAGTCGATTGGTAAACTAATTTAATTGCTAAAGTGTCTAATTTACTAAATCAACTAGTTTAGTCCACTTTAGTGACTTATAAAGCCGAGACTCATTTAGTTCTCTAAGTCGACTATAAAAATAATAAACAAATATAATGATATTAATTAATTAATATTATTTTTCTTATAAATAAAATTGAAATGAGCTATAATTTTATATTATTATTTGAAATTATTATATTATATAATAAATATTATTTTGAAAATTAGATAAATAAAAAAAGATGAATCATTTAAATTAAACAATTGGTCCAAAAAAAATTAAATTAAATATTTAACAATTATTGTCTAAAATAGAGAAACAAGATATAATTTTATTTTGAAGGAGTAAAGAGAACCATAAAGGAAGTTAAATTCGTTTCAACCAAAATAAAATAAATTTTTTTACATTCTTTTTCTTGCACAATAGGCTCTTTGAATTTTTTTTGTGAAGGACAAAATAAAAAATTTGCATTGTTTAGATATATGGTAAAATCAGGGTGAATTCATCCCCCATTTATAGTAATAAATAATATGCAATTTGATCCATGAGGCAATATAATTTTTATTATTTAACAGAACATAATATCATCGTGAAAAATACAATAGCATAATTGTACAACAAATTTAAAGATCAACTCCATGTCTCCATTTGGTTGAGTTTAAGGGCCTCCAATTTTTTGACAATATTTGTAGCCGATGATTCGGACATATCCCCGTTGATTTCAAATTCGTAAACCAGTGATTTTTACACTTCACCGGGCATAGATTTTGACCGTCTGAAAATATTAAAAGCTAAAGACTTCATTCATAAGTCAGAATGGGCGGGTTTATTAAAGTAAACGTATTCATACCACTTTGTTTTCTAGCTTATCACGTCACGAACGTATATTTTTTCATCCTTATTTCATTTGTGATTAAATTTAAATTAATGAATGTTACTAGTTCAACTCTGGTCTAAATATATTTAGTGAATACGTCAACGACTAAAAAAATTGTATAATTCGTTTGCAAAATTTAAAATATTAAAACTACAGGAATTTTTTAAATATGTAGAAAAGATGTTAAGATTAACCCCTTTTCATATGGCATAATCATATCTGATATTTCTAGCAAAAAATCGATATATTTTATTGCTCAATTGAGTTTATAATGAGTAATAGTAATCTATATCAGCTTAGAGGCCCGATAATATCCTCAACACTCTAAACAATCGTTCAGCTCTAACGGTTGAGAGTAATATGATTCAAATAGAAACAGATACGAATATTAAATTATGAATTTGATAACAGAAATTAATTTAATGCTAATATAAATTATCTCTACACTACTCCCATTTCTCAATTTTTTCAAAATGTGACTATATTTGTTTTTGTATTTTCTTTTTCAGCTTTCATGATGGAGTTGACAGAAAAAAATCTGGCTAAACAATCTACATTATAATCTCAAGCGAGAAGTATACCTTGGTTCCAAGGGATTCGCGTCATTCCATCAGGGCTGAGGCCAGAGGGTTCCAGCATAGAGGAATATTTGTGGATTTCAAGATTCTATTGATGATCGGAATGATGGCATAGTGCCTGGGTAATCTGCCTTTTGAAAAACGACAAAGTATGGGGGTTATGTCCAAAGCTATTGATGAGTTTTACATAGGACACATGATGTCGGTGTTACGATTTCTAGCTTAAATGAAGACATATAGCTATTCTAAGTTCTTCGGTGGTTAGTAACAACTAACAAGTCTAAATTAGAACTAGGTATGTTTCTAACCATTCTTAACCAAGGTGGCATATGGTTGAGACTGGAATTATTTGATAAAGCAAAAGAATCGTTTGTTGTCATTCTGCATCAGTGGCATAGCTACGGGGGTGGTTTTCGGGTTTGGACCCCTCCCAGAGCAAATTTTTTTTTAGATTATACGTTCAAAAGACTTAAAAGTGACTTTATATCAAATAAATACCATTAATATTTATGTTTTGATGTTTGTAAAAGGATATTATATTACTATTGAAATTATTCTGGATAGTATTATTATAAAGTCATTGAGAATAATCTACTAAATTATAATAACATATTGATGCATTTAAAAATTATATTTATTATATATTATCGAAGATATGGTTATGATTTGTAAGATAAACCCGGCCGAAGGCCTGGACAAAGGGTCGAAGGCCTCAGCCTTTTATATGTATGGACCCCCTCTAAGGAAAATTCCTAGCTACGCCACTGTTCTGTATACTCTTTTTGAACAGCTTTGAAGTGTAATTATTCCACGCAATGCTGTATCAAGGGTATATTTTTGTCTGTTAGTCTTATAGAACTTGGATATAAGCAGTTTAGAGCATTTTTTCTCCAGAGGTCGAATGCTGCCATATGATGTGAATCGATAGTCTCCAAGTGGGTATCGAAATTTAACAACAGAGGATAAAAAGCTGAAATTCTTAAGGATTTGGGGGAATGGATACCTATACCACCTAGCTTTGGAAGAGCAGCTTAGACCCAGGAGATTGATGAGTGATAGTTAATAAATTCGAGAGTATTTTTAAATGAACTTCAAGGTCTAATAATTGTTGTAATTTTTAGATTAGTTAAATTTGTACTTCATATTTAATTTGCATATAGATTTCTTTTGGATTTATTATTATAACGCGTGATAAAAATATTATATTTGAATAGTGAGAACTGAAAATAATTTAAGTTATGAATATTAGTTAAAAAGAAGTTTGAAAAAGAGTATAAAAACTCCAATTTTTACCATTCGCGATGATCTTTTATAATTATTAACTTTTTTGTATTTTATTTTTATTAATCTTTTTTATTATTTTTACTTTTATAATTTTGTTAATTTGATAATGTTATAATTTTGAATAAAGGATTAAATTATGATTTTACGAACTTAATTTTTTTTAATCTATAATTTTTTTAATCTTTAATTTATATTAATATTTTGATTATGTTTTTATCTTATAAAGATTTAGTATCATTTTAGTTCTAACATTTCTTTATTTGACGAATATTATAGAAAAGTATATATAATCGACGATATTAGTCTGATTTAGTATCACTTTAGTTCTAACCTTTCTTTATTTGACTACGGTTATAATCACCCAATCCTTCTAAATTCTTCTAAATGTTACAATAATATTTCAGTAGACATGAAAATTGTTGATGAACAGGCATGTAAAAAATATTTTAAGTAAACCGATGATTCTATTGAATTTGGCAAAAAATTTATCTCTCAAATGAAACATAGCATTTTCACCTCCAATGGGTGAACCTATATGGGTAAAGCTAGTTTTGTCCACTACAATAAAATTTTCAGGTGGGCAATCCGAATCAAAGGTGTGATAATTTTAAATTTTTGAATAACGGATTGTGTTTGCAAAGGATATGCAACAATAATTTAATTAATTTCCTGTGCAAATAGATTTTATAAATTATAAACCATATTCAAGTTATAAACCTAATTTTTAATATTATATTTCTTTACAAATTTAGCACAATATATTTGATATTTTTTGCCCTCAAGTTTGGCAATATTTATACGCTGGAATTTCATAAGTAAAATGTTTTTAATTTTACTAAATTAGATTATAAAACACGGTATAAAGGAAAGACAGAATTATTTTAGAATTAAATAATTTTTATATAAGATACTAAATATAATAATATAATGTAACGCTATTATATCACCTTTACTGATTATAAAATTACTTATAAAATTACTAATAAAACATAAATGTAAAATAATTTAATAGGTTAAAGAATAAATTGCTATTTGTATTTTGAAGAAATTTCCTGCTTGTTTTTCTTCTTATACAACTAAACACTCTAATACTTCAATTTGGTAGGGTGTAGTTTTTAATTTTACTATACATCTGTGTTAAGGTTTGTTGATATCCTTGAGGTTGAGAGTAAAATCGGCATAATTATATGGAGGTTGGGCCTAGTGTTGTTAAATGGTTGGTTTTTTACGACCCACAACCCGAGCCGAAGTCGTAGAAATCTGCTCAACATTGAGCCAGGGTTGAAAAATCGACCACGAACTAACCCGACCCAATGGGCCTGTTGAGCCGACCCA